TGGTCAGGTCCCACCTTCCAGTTCCCATTTTGAGTGACATGTGAATGAATGTCTAAGAATGATGGTTTTATATGGATTTATGTATGGAAATTTTGAGCTTTAAAATTGGTTACCGGTACGTTACAGAGAACCCCGGAAATATCCGACAGGGGTTACAGCAAATTTTGTATGGGGATGTCGCCAGAGTAATAATATTCATTACTTTTTTATTGTTAGATATGATTGGTAGAAATTACGAGCGTAACGTTACATGAGGAAATATACGGTATCGTAGATGTTGGGTCATATCATAAGGACGTCGTCGGAGTACGGAACATTTGAATTATCATGGGCCCACCATTAGATGTACTTTCGGGGGTAGGTATTTGCATCAGTTGATGTAGTCATTTCTTTGCGACGCTATAGGGACGATCGTTCTCCCTGGTGATGACACCACCTCGAAATCCACTTTTTGCCCCCCCTTTTCATGTATCCTGCAGCTAAATGCACTAAGTACACAGTCTGCAATGCAGGTGCCCCGGGTTCAAATCCCACCGAGGGATATATTTTGTCAAGTGATGTACAACATGACAAAAATATTCAACATTATTATTTTTAATCACCTACTACAGAATTCTATTGGATTCACGACGGGGGGTTATCCAGAGAACACTCTTACCGAGCACATAATTAAGATCACAACACAGTATCTATTATTTACACAACTACAATGTGGGGACGCGGAATTGCTTTTTGAAATGATTTCTGGATTGCGTCGCTAGAAATCATTTCCCAGGCCTTGATTGAACGCAAAATCATAGCACGTCGCTTGTCTGCAGCTGAAGTGACAGGCGCTTCATCGAGCCACAGTGTCCGCAACAACTTCTTGAACGGCCCCATAACCCCTACATCCAAGGGCTGACACACACTTGTGCAGTTGGCAGGGAGTGGCTCGAGCACGCTGTGCAGATCACCAGCGATGACATTGGCGGATTCTTGCGTAACGTGGGCGTCGAAGTTGTCAGCGACTATGACCGTGGGGCCTTCAATGTACGGCGGCAAAATCTCGAGGTACGCTTTCCACACGCGGCTGTCCATCCACGCCGATTCTTGGACACTGTAGTAGTGCTCTTCTGGATAGGTGTCCAGCTCCACTTCGTCGATTGTACCACCGGGGACGCCATGGACGATGAATAAAATGGGTAGTTTAGACCCTACACACAACATCGTCAATAGCCATTCATGCAATACGACGTACCATCAGCTCGGCATGTCAACACCGCAGTGATACGGTCGGAATGCTTCTGCTTCTTGTCGACCTTGGACGACTTGCCGATTTCTGCCCAGATCTTGCCAGGGGGCATGTCGTAGTATACGGCGGTCTCGTCGACGTTCATGATTTCGCTGGCAGCGTACGCATGATACTTGGTCCAAAACTTGCACGCAAAATCCTGGCGGATCTCCAACATATCGGGGGTGGGCATCTTTGTGAAGCACGCAACTCGCTGGGAAAAGCGGTGTCGTTTGGCAAACTCCTGGCAGAGCTTCAAGAGGGACTTGTACGCGTCGCGCTTGCCTGTTCGGTACGACGCCAACCATTCCCCGTGGTTGCGCTTCATGAAGGTTACCATATGCATCGACGTAAGAATGTGTTCCTCACGCCGAACATCCTTCATGAAGGCAAGGAGCTCGTACTTGAACGGGAAGATGGCCTTGGCGCCTTGTCCACCCAACGTTGGGCGCTTGGCGTTGCGTCGAGTCGTCACAAGTTCTGTGCGGCGCTTTTGCCAGTCGATCCACGTACTTCGAGGTATTCCATTCTCCGCACAGAACTTGCGATGGCTCGTTGCAGTGGCTTCGAACATAGCCAGGAGCTTTCGCTTTTCGTCGATGGAGTATGACTTCTTGCGGTGTCGCGTCGGCATGATGTCAAGTGAAGTGTTTCAAATTTTGAATTTGAATAGGCCAATCATAAACTTTCATTAATACTGCTTTGTGATTGGCTTCGTGATGGATAAATTCAATTTCAAAGGTGCGTCGACGATGAATAAAATTACATCAATTTAGACCGGTGGTCGGATATTTTGTGGGGGTCGGACTTTTCCGGGGTTCTCTCTTGCGATGGCTCGTTGCAGTGGCTTCGAACATAGCCAGGAGCTTTCGCTTTTCGTCGATGGAGTATGACTTCTTGCGGTGTCGCGTCGGCATGATGTCAAGTGAAGTGTTTCAAATTTTGAATTTGAATAGGCCAATCATAAACTTTCATTAATACTGCTTTGTGATTGGCTTCGTGATGGATAAATTCAATTTCAAAGGTGCGTCGACGATGAATAAAATTACATCAATTTAGACCGGTGGTCGGATATTTTGTGGGGGTCGGACTTTTCCGGGGTTCTCTCTTGCGATGGCTCGTTGCAGTGGCTTCGAACATAGCCAGGAGCTTTCGCTTTTCGTCGATGGAGTATGACTTCTTGCGGTGTCGCGTCGGCATGATGTCAAGTGAAGTGTTTCAAATTTTGAATTTGAATAGGCCAATCATAAACTTTCATTAATACTGCTTTGTGATTGGCTTCGTGATGGATAAATTCAATTTCAAAGGTGCGTCGACGATGAATAAAATTACATCACTTTAGACAGGTGGTCGGATATTTTGGGGGGGTCGGACTTTTCCGGGGTTCTCTGTACATGTGTCCAGTAATATATATTTACAGGTTTTACTTCACTTATTCGATGCTCGATGAACTATGCCAAGCCTTTGGCGCGTAGCAATCGGTTAGACGATGAGGCGGTGGCATTGCGGCCGCTTTGTCTAGGATCACAAGTTGGCCGTCGCGCTCCATTGCTAGAATCGATGTGACGAAGACGACCTCGTCTTGGCTGCAGTGTCCATGCGTTTAGCATTCGCCACGTGTGTGCGAAGCAATCGCTGAGGAATCGAATATGCGTCTGCAGCAGCAGGGATTGTTAGGTTCTTGGAGATCACGTCTGCTATGGCCTTACACACAACGTCAGCCGTGTACGAGTTCTTCGCGGCATCTTGATTTGAAAAACCCTTCTATAAATTTGTACTATTTCACACTATAAATGTTTCAAGGTGTTTGTTGTTGCAGGCTTTTATTTTATCCAATCATATCAATTCTGGAGTTCTATTGGGAAATGCGGCTCGGCTATTCACTATCCGTCATGTTATCCTTAGAATTACCTGTAAAGACCGACATTATGTAATGCGGCTCGGCTATTCACTATCCGTCACGTTATCCTTAGAATTATCTGTAACCGACATGATGTAATGCGATTACCTGTAAAGTCTGACATTATGTTACTACTCTGTTCTGGGAAAAGAGTCCCGTATTTTTGACTTGATTAAAGTATGCAACGTTTTGAAAAATATCTTAATGTTTGAATTGGACTACAACATTCCATATTGTTACACAAAAATATAATGACGTTTTATTAAAATTATAAAACTACTCTTTCTTGGGAATTCAAGTGCCGCTGAGGATGCAAGTGCGCTCTCGTGCACTGCTGGGTCACAGTGAACATTAAACAAGGACAAGTCCTTTATCGTTGCATCTTTGCTCATATGAGGAAGCTTGTAGTCGTTGTTTCCGTTGTTTTCAAGAGTTTTCTCCATAACCTTTTGCAAGGTAATGAAGGTCTTCGACAATGTGTCAAGGGGCAGCTCAAGATATGAGCTCTTTACAGCGTCAACAAGCTCATCGATATTTCGAGTAAACTTTTGACTTTGTAGACTTTGAATCGAATTAAAATATCCCAAATCGAGAACATTTAAGTCGGGGCTATTTGGCGGTTGATTAGCCGCGCAAATACCAGTAACACGAGTCAAATGTTCGTGCACACAAGAATTAGGGAATCACAGGTAGAAATCTGGGGGACACACACGTGTATCAAAACACAAGGGAATTGACCTAGCGTTACAGCAGCGAGCGACGACAGAGCATCCGCCCACAAAATTACGCGCACCGCAGCGCAGCGGAGGTCCTGTGTATAATTTTGTGCAGGCGGTGCCTTGGCGAGGAGTGAGCCCCAATCGTGCACTTCACCGAATGTCCAATCGATTCCTCTCGTCGGGAAAGCGGCAGGTAGGCCGCTCCCAGACGAGGCCTGTGGAGGACCAAATTACCTTATATAGTATTTGTAACGTTACAGTTTCATATGATTCCCCATTTTCTACCTGTGATTCCCTAATTCTTGTGTGCAGAGTTTCTGTACTCCCAGTAACACCATGGTTAAGCAGAAGCTACGTAGTCACACAATTATGTAGACTCGCATTATCTTGATGCAAGTATATTATCTTATTCTGATCCCCCATGGGAAATTTTGTTTTAATCGCAGGCACAACTTTATTTAAAATCATGTCGCGATAAGCATCAGAATTTACCGTCTGTGGTACCGTAACTACAGTACCTTTCGGGCGATTTTTGCTTGCACGCTTTGCCGCAGTACGTTCGAGTAGTGGCCAGACACCCAACTTGCCGTCAAACATTGATTTTTTGTGGAAATCAAACCTTGGCCAGGCCACGTCGGCAAGAAACATTACTTTCGTAATGAATCTCTTGGACTTCAAGGCACGCAGTGGGATAACTTCGTCGTCATAAGCATAACATCGTTTCTTTACAGTCGTTAAATAGAACCACTTTTCGTCAACATGCACGTAATTGTACATATTGGAAAAAGTAGTCCCATTCAACGACAGTGAAAGAAAGGACATTGCATGCTCCATGCGGCATCGCTTGTTGGCATCCGTGAGGTACGGCTTCGAGTGGCTTGCCTTGGGCTTTAGAGTCTTCACTTCGTCCATATGGTGCACCAGTGTAGTCTTGGAATAACCAGACTGGGCTGCCATTGTTCGCATAGTTTGGCGTGCCAACAGAGGAACAGCTCGATCGGCTCGCTCAATGTCGGCAGCCGAGTGCTTCTTTTTGGCACCCGAATTGCCTAAAAAAATACAATAGTCAAAACAAATAACTGTACAAATCAATATTTTGCATGGAAATAATTAGTTTATATTGGTTATCTTTGAATTTTGAGTCCACGTCGGCAACGGCGCTGCCTTGCCGAAGTGAGTCGTGCGTGGCCTCGATGCCACACGCGAGAGACGGTCTTCCAGTGGCATTTGAACATGCCGGCGACCTTCTTGTATGACCCATGGGTCAACTTTCCTGCCGCATTGATCTCAAGCAGCGTATCGAAGATTGCGCGGTGGGTCGTGTCGAAGAGCTTGCGTTTGCCGTAAGGGGTAGGGTGAACGGAGCTGTCGCCAACAACTTATGCGATTCTTGCGGAGTGTGAAAATGAGTTTTGAGACCTCAGCGGGACACTATGTGTGCAGAGAGTTTGTGTAGGATTTTCTTTGTGTCGTAACGTTTGAGCAAAAGCGAACTACAACTCGCTAAAAAGAACCAATCAAAGAGGAGAAAACGCGCCGTTTGGAAAGCCAATTAGATTCGAAGGAAAGTGAAAACAAGAAAAATTCCGCCAATCGAAAGTCAAATGGGACTTTTTTCCCAGACAGAGTAGTAGAGAAAATGCCGGAAACTAGTACCAGATTCCGCCAATCGACTAATGTCTGAGGATTTCAATCGTGAGTGGTAAAAAGAGATGAGCAACAGCCAGGTCATGACCGTCGTTGGACCCGACGTGAAACTAGTCGAAAGCGTGGGATGCAACCGCCTCACGCATCATGACAATCGACGGCTTTGGACGGCAAGAAGGCGTCACAGAGATTCAGCTAGCTACTCGAGTCACATTGACAATTCCAGCCAAGTCCAATTTCATGTCGGGATGAAGTCATGACGAAACTGAGAAAGCGCAGCTCCTCGACGAGCTGGTTGCCATCGTCGACGGCCAACGAGCGATCAAGGAAGAAAGGCAAATGGCAAGTTCAGCCGTGAAGGAGAAGGCGCTGACAGCAACGGCGTTGATTCGCGACGAGACGATGCAGCGCGCTTCAAAGAGAAAGAGCGTTGATGGCGATGACGATGTAACGACGTCGAACAAGGAGATGGCACTTATTCTGGTGCAACAAGCTGAAATCGACCTGGAGAAGCAGAGGTTGGAATACAAGAAGTTGAAACTACAGGCTGGGGTCAACGAGCAAGCGCTTGCACGGAAGGAACGCGCAGAAATGCGTGAAATTGAGCTAAAGCGTCATACCGATTTGCGTCGCAACTTGCGCCTCCGTGCAACTTCTCAACACAAACACAATTTTGGGGGAGCAGTGAAGTCCCGGGCAATGCTTGGCGGTGTATTGATCAGTTGGAGGCAAAACTAGAACTGAATTACTCACTAACTGACTAAGCTGATCCTATACTAACTCTAAGTCTAAATCCCCTTTTGGTTCCACCAAACACTAGACCCGGCCTTTCCTGGCCCTAACCCTTCCTTCTCGCACCACACACCGCGGCCGTCCACCGCCGGGCCTGGCCGCCCGAATGGCTCCAGCCAGGCGTGTCGAATGGGTGCTAGGACTACGGGGTATGTCCATCATGGCAACGCAACAATATGGTAGAACTTATGAAGTTTAGTATGTCAAAGAATAATGAACAGTTTTAGTGCTTCATGAATTTGATACACATGTCATTACTTTGAAATTAGACTGGGAGATATTCGTCTAACGATGGCGGTTTCATTTCAAAGTAATGGCTAATTTGATTGCCATCGCAGTACAGACCTGAATCCTATTGAAAACGTCTGGGGATATCTTGTTCAACGCGTTTACGTTGGCGGCAAGCAGTACAGCTCGAAAGAGGAGCTCAAGATGGCGATCATTCACCACTGGGATGGTTTGGAAGTTTCCTAAAAAACTTGTCCTCAGCATGAAGATGTGATGCCTCGGTGTCGTTGGTAACAAAGGAATGACCACTAAGTACTAGGAGCTTAAAATTCATGAATAGAAAGCATCATTTTGATCGATTTGGTGTCTTAAGTCTTCTTGTCACCACGTGGTTATAAACTTTTGCATCGGTGCCAAAACGCAATTGTTTTTGTTACTCACTCAGGTTTTCATGCTTTGACACCTTTCAAAGCAAGAAATGTGTATTTTATGAATACAAATTCAGACATACTTTCGGGTTAATTTAATTCGCAGTCGTCAAACTAATAATCTAGAAATACTGGGTGGTTATAACCTTTGCATCGCACTGCAGCAGCAGTTGCAATTCGTGAAAAACATCGAAAGACATATTATCTTTCCTACATTCTAGAGCATGATTTTTTGTTGCATTTTGAACGTGATAAATGGCAACAGCGTTTTCATGCGCCCAAATGACCACACAACATAGTGTCGAACACGGCTTATGGCAGAGTTAAAGTACCGTTGTTGGGCGCTGATGGACTTGCCCTTGTAGTCCGACATGATCCACGGTAAAATACCGTAAGCCGGGTCGCCATAGATAAGTGCACCAGCAAAATGCCGCTTCTCGGTTGTTCAGAAACGCGACAAGTCGACTTTCCTTGAGCAACGTAGTGTCGTGGCGACTACCTTCAATCGCCCCCCAAAAGTGGATGCAAAGGCCGTTGGGTGCAGTCACACCCTGAAATTTCAGGCAATGGATTCGCTTGTGGCCATTGTAGATATGCCGTTGCATGTCCGGATGGTCGGCCAAGCTGGGGGTCTGGGTGATGCGACAGGTTTGGACCTTGGATCCATCGATGAAAGCAAATATGGTATGCACTGGTGACCCCTTGGCTGCAATTGCAGCTGGTACTCCGCAATCCGTGGGACCACAATGTCCGTACGGATGTACATGCGTTCGTTCCAAATGCCATACAGGAGGTCTACCATGTCGTTGAAGATGCGGCACAGTGATTCGCGCGACCGGCCAAACACCACCACAATGTCGATTTAGCGTCGTTAATACGACAACCTGTGCTGTACAATACACAGGGCCTCAGCGCCGAGGCAGCGGTCGTTCGATTTGGTGATGAAAACGCCCGGGATCCGCAGCAGATGAACCAGTCTGACGACGCCAGCGACTTCAAATCGGAACTTGAGGGTTGCATCACCGTCGGACATGGTTCCAAGCTGAAGCCTGGTGTTGGGGATGAATGGTCGTTCGATGGCAGCAATGAAGTACTCCATGAAATGAATTCGTCGGCACAAGGACATCGAGCGTCGGCGCTTGAAGAGCACAACGATGTCTTTGGGTGATATCATTGTCTATTATTAAGGAGATTTCGCAATCGTTGGTTATTTGTTCGCGTTCAGCTCACACAACGACAGCGGCAACGACAGATATTTTATGATCATATTTCCATCAAAATGTACGAATAAGTTATCCGGATATTTGATCAGCAAGGGCACACATCGAAATGAACGAGACAGCACTGGTGGTGTCCGTCGTGCGGAGGCTGCTTCAAACAAAGCCACGTCAACAGCAGCGTCGACTATTCTTCATACTACTGTGGAAGCTGTTGAGTAGTTAGGTTGAACGTCCCGTTATCCCCGACGTTCGCTTTCGCCTCGACACGTTAAATGACACAGACTACTTTCGTTTTTACGTCGCCGGTGTCCGATTATTGGCGGTGCTGCTCCGCTTACCAGGCGTTGGTCACGCCAAGCCGGGACCGTTGTCATGCTGTGGAGGCCTTGTGTATTCTGCTGCGCCGCCTCGCATACACATGTTATCATTCGCTGAGATCTACTGCTGCTCCGCCACCCATATACATGTTATTGTTCGCTGAGAGCGTCTGGCTCACGCAGTTTAGCTTAGACAGACAGAAGTCACTGCCCAAGTGCCTGCTCATCCCGATGGGGGTTGCAAACACACCGAGGGGTCTATGCCGCTAAGTCGGTCGCTTGGCATGTCGTTCAAGGCGCCTTGTACCAGGGCCAGGACGAGGTGCCAGTCAGTCCCGCGCAGCCTTAACTCGCAAGTAAGCGTCTTGACGGCGCGGAGGATCAGTCCGTTGATTGTTTGAACGGTTTCGATGACCCAAAGACAGTACGCGTCGTGAAGTTGTGGCTGGCGCCGGCTGCCTTGCGGATCTTGTCGAAGACTTCCTTCTTGAAATGGTCCAGGCCCATATATAGACATACACAAAGGTCGTAAACCAATCGAAGAAGCAGTTTGAGGTCATCGTGGCGTCGTTTATCTCACTGTGGCAAAGTCTCACGAACCCGCTCATGTCGTCCTTGATGACTAGGCACCAGTTAGGGAGGTCTCTCTGGCGACTTGTCCAACGATGCCGGCCTTGCCATGCTGGGGGATCGGCAGGATTGAAAATGTACTGCAGCTATTGTGGTCGATGAAAAGGCGGAGGTCAGCTGGGCGGGGAAGAATGTAGTTCAGCGGCTTGCAGCTTTCCACAACGGCAAACGCTTCCTTCTCCATGATGGGCCAAAGTTTGCTTATGTCTGTAAAGGCGCAGCTGAGGAGGGTAAACACTGGTGGTACTGCTCTTCTAACGGCAGTGCCAGGGCGTCAAGTGGTACGTGAGAGGCTATCGCGCGCCAACAGCCTTCACTTGTGTCGGTGTAAAGGCATACCATCACGTCTGCCAGTGGGTGAGCCATGGTAACCATCGCCCAGAGAGCTTCCTTAATCTTATCGAACCAGACCAAATGGCCAACGTCCCAGCCAACGGGACTCAGTTGGATGCTGATGAGCTTCGTCTTCTTCGCACTTCCAATTTGTTGCGTCGAGGAATTGGCGGAGCGGCGCGACAAGCTCGGTATAGCATGGAATGCTGGACTCCTTCGGTTGAGACGACTTCGCCACAAAACGCGGCCTTGAGGAATAAGTCGCATTTCTTCGGGTTGAGCTTCACGCCGAAGGAGGTACATTCGAGAGGACTTGGGCGAGGAGGCCATTGAACAGTAGGTCGGTAAATATGACGTAAACAGCCGATTGGCAGAACGCACCGCATCGGTCTTGCCCATAAGCACACATGTAGGTATTTGAACTCCGAAAGGGGTCATAAAGGAGTAGTACATCTGAGGGTCTTCATGGCGCGCCAGCTGCCAGTATCCCTTGAGCCAGTCGAGGGTAAAAAACTCCCGCGCGCCTACCAAGACAGTCCGGGTGACGTCGAGATTCGGATAAGGCTCCGTGCACAGTTGATGGACCCGCTGTCTATGATCATGCGCAAGTCGCCAGGGTCTTGTTTTGTGACGATGCATGCGCGGGACCGAGGCGCACATCGCGCACTTTATGCGATTAACCAGACCGACTGCTTCCAGCTCGCGCATACGTGAATTCCATGAGATCCACATGGGTTGGAGACATCGTCGCAGGCCACACTTGACTGGACGGCGCCAGGCTTTATTCGCACCTACAGCGATACCACTTGATCGGCTCGTTGTGGCAGAACTCCAGACGGAAGACACGGAGCTTCGCTTGTATCACTGCTTCAACCACCGCTCGCCTTCTGCGTCTTCAGCAGATTGGACTTGGATGTTTGGGGTTGCACTGTGCATGCTCATCACCGTACTCGTCACTTGAGGCGGACACTTGAATCAGGCGGCTGACCCTGCATCACAAACGGCTAGTTCAAATCGCTGATATCCCAGACATCATCCTTGGCAAAGGCGTGGCTGAGCAGCTTATCCTCCGAGAAGCCCAGCCGTGAAGTCTCCGCTTCTTCAACCGGGCCATAAGGTGGTATGCACGTTCAGCCAGTCTACGAAACGGTATACGTTGGTCGTTATCTGCGTATTGCGTTGGAGGGCCATCTGGTGTTGGCGACTGCTGAAGACCAAGTGGTTGATCGTCTTGACCATGATACCTACGACGGTCTTGCCTTCTTGTTCTTACATCCACACTTGGTCGTCGTGTATGGCGCTAGTATGACGTTATCGAACATCTTGCCAATGCGTGAGTCGGCGTCCAGGATGGTCGTGTCGAACCGAATCGCCGTTGTCAAACGCTTATTTATCACTTCAACGCCTTAAGGCTGTTCGTCAAACGCATTGCCAATCCATGCACCCCACTCCGCTTCCGTAACGTCATGGTAGTTGCGGTTGACTACGATTCACATCGCCACGCGTTACTTGGTCGACATTTCCATGCACGTACCAAAAATCATCATAAATGGTCTGGATGCATGAGCTAAGGAGCGTTGTCTTGGTCCAGGTGGTTGTTCAACCAGCGGATGAATGTCCACCGTTCCGACTCGCTCGAGGCGTTGAATTGAGACAGCTCCGACGCATTGTACATTAAGCTGCTCTTTCCCGTTAACAGGGGACTGTGAGCGTTGGTGGCCTGAGTCACTCGTTACTTCGGGCAATGAGTACATTGAATTCTCTAATTCCATCGAGTAGTAGTGCCACTGAACGTACTCCGCAATGTAACACGAAGATGGCGTGGTTTTCTACGATATGACACTATACATACATCGCTGTACGATTGCTCTCCAGCGCATGTCATCGCTGTGCGTCATTTTGTTCTGCATGGCGCTGTGAAAGACCTATGAGCCTTTTTAGAGGTCGGATCATGGTCTCATAATCGGTAAGACCGTTTAGTCTCCATCACGTGCAGCAGGCCGCCATTCGTCATGTGGTTGTACGTCATGGTCATGCGGTTGAAAGATGTCCATTGTTGGCGCATTTTCATTGGACGAAATGATAGACTATAAATAGACCAGAAAAAGTAATTCGTAGTATGAAACCACAGTTTTCTATATACATATGGTTAATTCGGCCTCCGCAAGAGGTTGCCGTCCGGATAACCACCAGGAGCAAAAACATAGAACTATTTAGCCTCATCGTCCGAAGCAATGAGTAACCTGACTACCAACGCTCACAGTCCTCTGTTACCGAGACATAGCGATCCCGATCCCGAGGGGCCCAATGCGGTCCCTCGGGCTACTACCCCGTTCGCCTCTCCCCGCTGGTGTAATCCACCAGCCGTTGACCAGCGGTTTTAACCCGGTGTCTAAATTTACGCCAACATCCCATTTTCGGGGCCCACACCGACCCGAGTGGCCGCCCCATTTAATTCCCCATCGCCAACTGCGAAACCAACTGGCGCTACCAGCCTGCCCCTATCCCCGATGACGACGACATGGGATAAGGCCATGAGTGCGGCTTCGTGTACAACGCGGCGGTGCTCCCTGACCCGCCCTCGTTCAAAGGCTCGACCAAGTCGGAGCGGCGGACATTTATCCGGCACTACAACAAGTACATTGACCAAGTGCCCTCCAGCTCAATGACTCAAGATCCTTCATGATGCCTGTCAGCGCGTGCATGGAGGTTTTCACCAAGAAGCGTGTGGCGATGTGGGACATGGCCATCCGCGACTACCGTGGCGTCACGGAGGCAGATGCGCCGCATGGTTTGCAAGGCGTTTTAAGAGGAGCCTCAATACCTTGAAGTGCTCAAGAACGTTTGACGACGGCGATCCGGTTCGACACAACCATCCTGGACGCCGACTCGAGCTTTGGCAAGATGATCGAAAACTTGATGTGATCCTTGGAGTGCGACGACCAAGCGTGGGTGTTGTACCAAGAAGGCAAGGCAGTTGTCGACATCATGGTATAAGGCGATCAAACCACTTGGCCTGGAGAAGTCTGTCCAACGCTAGCTGGCCCTTCAACGAAACAAGCCGTTAAAGACCTACCGTTTCGTGGACTGACACCATGTGCATACTGCCGGGTACCACTTGTATGCCCCGGTGGAAGACGAGAAGATGCAACGCCTGCGACGGCAGTCGCAGTGCCATCGGGGCCGCCTAAGTCTGGACGATCGGAAGGCAGCGGTGTCAGCCGCCTGAGTCAAGTGGCCGCCTCAAGCGACGAGTGCAATGATGACGGCATGCACAATGCCACCCCAAACATCCAAGTCCCACCTACTCAAGACGCAGAAGGCGAGCGAAACAGGCGGTGAGCGGTGGTTGAAGCGGTGATTCAAGCCAAGCTCCGTGCCGCTGAAGAGATGGTTTGACCAAGGACCGCGAGAAGAGGCGACTCCTCCTGGTCAATCACTACAAAGTCTTCAGCCTGGAGATCGGCCACGGCAAGCCGATCAAGTGGAGCCGCTGCGGGTATGCATCAAGTATGAAACCCCGAAACGATGCCGTCCCAGTCAAGTATGGCCTGCAACGATACCCCCCGACCCATGTGGAGTTACTGAAGCACATATGTGCGCGAGCTGGACGAAGCCGGCCTGGTGTACGGCAACAACCGTGCAACATAGACCTCGGCGCCGCGCATCGTCCTCAAAAAAGACTCTGGCGACTTGCGCATCGCCATCGACAGTCAGTCAATCATCTCGTGCAGGGAGCCTATGCCATGGCCTATGCCGAACAAACCTCGACGCCAGCTTGACTGTATTGGTGGGCGATCGGGCGTTCCTCGCCCTCGATTGGTTCAAGGGCTACTGGCAGCTGGCGCTCCATGAAGACGCCGAGATGTTCAACTCCTTCATGACCCCCTTTGGAGTGTACACGCTGAAAGAGTGCTTATGGGCCAGACCGATGCGGTTACGTTCTGTCAGTTGGCGGTGGACTTCGTGTTTGCCGTCCTACTGTTGAAGAGACTCCTAGCCTGGCTCGACGACATGCTAGGTTGCGCCGAGATCCCAGAAGACCTCCAACGACCTCTTCGACTAAGTCCTCACGATCTACTCCTCCTTCGGCCTAAAGTTCTACACGAAGAAATGCGACTTCTTCCTGACCAAGGCCGTCTGGTGCGGCAAAGTCGTCTCAACTGAAGTCGCCCATCACTCCCCCACATGAATCCAAGGACTGTGCACGCTCGCGTCGACCACGGCCACTAACACCAACAGTTCGTGTGCGCGACCAACTGGATGCGGGCCAGCATCCCCTGCTACACCGAGCTTGTGGGGCCCCAACCCCTCGACGCAGCGATCAAGCGCCACCAGCCGTTGGCCTTTCTCAGCGCCGCCTTTCCTGGGACAAGCGAGCGTTGGCCAGTCGTGGAGAAGGAAGAGTTTGCCGTTGTGGAAAGCTGCAAGCCGCTGAGCTACATTCTTACCCGCCCAGCTGACTTCCGCCTTTTGATTTCGACTGACCCAGCGCTCGTCAGGACCCAACAAGTGGAGACCCGCCAACCGACGTGGTGTGGAATGAACACAAGAACCCGTTGCTCGACAAGGGAAACTGCATCTGGATCCCACCAAGAGCCACGGACCTCTAGCAGCAGGTCTGCATCATAGCGTATCTAGGCGCCACGGGCCATCGGCGAATCGAAGCCACGACCAAGGCCGTCCACGATGTTTTCGCCTGGAGCACCCTCGAAGCCGATGACAAGACCATTGTTTAAGCCTGCATCCACTGCCTCAGCGTCGGCGGCTCAGTGACCCCACGCTCGCTTAGATCGACGCTTCATGCCGAGAAGCCCCAAGAGCTGATCCACTTCGACTGCCTCTCCATGTCCACGGTGACGAACCGCTGGCAAAAGGTCCTCGTCGTCAAAGATGACATGAGTGGGATCGTGTGATTTTGGCCCAGCGAGACAAGCGAGGCCGCGGCGACCACCAACGGCCTCCTCAACTGGTTCACGAGCTTTGGGAATGTCCAATCCTGGGTCTTCGTCAGCGGCTCCTATTTCAAGATCTGAGTCATCCACACGATCGGTAAAGCCGCATGCGGCCCCAACCACCGTATACTGTCCTTGGACGAATGGAACCGCTAAGGTAGTCAACCGCTTGATCACCCGCACCGTAAAGACGCTTACCAGCAAATTGAAGCAGCATGCGACCGACTGGGAATCTCGTCATGGACGTGATACAAGGCACCTTGAACCACATGCTAAACGATCGACTTCGCGGCATGGCCCCGGTGATATACTTTACTGGCCTGTCTGTCGCGACGCCCCTGTCAGCGTTTGTCAACACTGTGACCAAGGAAGCTGCCGACATCGCCTGGCTCGACTCCACTTGCACGAATCACATGGACGAGCTGCATGAAGCAACGGATCAAGTGCATCGCGAGGTTGGTGCGACAAGCGCCTAGAAAGTACGCAACGCTCGCGACCATCACGCGTATGATGACTAGTCGTTGATGTTGAAGTGTCCCACCAAGGCAATAAGCTGTAATGGCGCGGCCCATGCAAGGTGTCTGGATCGGTTGGTGCAGACTTACGACTTTTCCCTCCTCCAAGCCTGCCGGCGCCAGATGTATTACGAAGGCGACACGCAATTTGAACGAAGACCTACCCGACAATATTGCATTTGGTAATGAAGGGTTCGACGTGGGCAACGTCCGAGGAGAAGATGGTGAGTACCAAGACCTTGTCTACTGGCTTGGCCTCAATGAAGACGAAGCCTAATGGGTGCCCGTACGCTTGCTATGCGAAGACGTGGGTTCAACAACATGAAGACCAAGTAGAAGTGAAGAAAATGCCTGTGGAACTCAAAAAGACCCTCGGTCACTCCCTTTACGGAGAAGTGTTCTGTATGGCACTGCAGAAAGACGTATGAGTCTTTTTTAGGAGTCGGTTCATGGTCTCATGATCGGTAAAGTCGTTTGGTCTCCATCATGCGCCGCAGGCCGCCATTCGTCGTGGTGTTGAAAGATGTGCATTGTTGGTGCATTTTCATTGGACCAAATGACCAAATGATTATACTTAAAATAGACCAGAAATAGTTATTCGTGATAAGTGTCCTCAGTGTGCATTTTACCGTTAATTCGGCCTCCGCTAGACGGGAGTGAAAGCACATTTGTGATCAAAAGTAGTTCATGACGACGATCAGTGAATTGTGCAATTCGGTCCCGAGAATAGTAGCAGATATAACTTCGATTTCAGTTTTCAAATGCAAAACTGAAATCGGCCCTATAATTAATTACATTCTTCAACGATACGTGACACCCTAACTGTAAATCAAGGCACGCTGTATACTGCTTTTCACAACTTTTGGCGGCTATTCTGGGACTAAAACCCCTCTTTTAAACATGCAGGGGAGGGAAAATAGCTCATCGATTTCTTAACTCAAATGTCGTGGGTTCGATCTCAGGCTTCCCTCGCGGGGAATGTCTTAAAAATGATAATCCAAACTCAATTAACCTCTCTTTTAAACATGCACCCACGTTGTAAGTATTAGGTTGAGTCCAACTTCGTTTTAGTAAAACGAAGCACTAAATGTATTAATACCACACTTTTAGTAATTCCACGCTCTAATTAATTATTAGAGGTGATTTTATGGATCGTACTGGTATGGGTTTACTTCAGTTTGATTGGACGCCAAAGGATTTTTTGGCTGGATTTCCGAGCAAGGTTGGCTTAAGAGGGGTGTTTGCCGATGAATTTTCGGTAAACGCGGTGTTTTACTGCAGTGCTAAGCTAGGCCATGCGATGGCGGCGGGCTATCCTTGCCCAAGTGTCTCTAAAGTAGATGACGCAACGCGAAGTTACATTTTTGTTAGTTTAACATTGGGGCATCCACCGTAGTGCCGGTAAGAAGACGATTCCGCACCGTGATGGAACTACGGAAGCTACTTAACTGCGATCGCGGAGGCTGCGGGAGACACTCGTTAGAATCACTCGGTGTAGGGCATCGATGATGGTGGGCATCACAGTGCTTGTCTACAATACCATTGCCACACCCCACTGTCGGCCGCTGCGGCCACACTACAATGTCCTCCAACATGGACGCAATCCAGCACTCCACCGTCCACCACGGCCGTCGAGTGCAGCGGTAACCGTCTTTCTGCAACCTGGGGTGATGGTGGCGCGCGGTGGAGTGCGTCGATGATGGAGGACATTGTAGTGTGGCCGCAGCCGTGGAGAGTGGGGTGCGGTAATGATGGTGGACGGCCACTGTGATCTGCACCGATGCACACACCCTATGCGGGGGAAAGGATGCGTTTGCAATTGTCGAGTCGAGCAAACGACTGGAGTACCTGCTGCGCTATATTGCGATGTCCTCAACCTTTGCCATACTCCACAATCCGTTGCCGTCGAGTTCACTACTGGCGGTGGTCAGTAGTGTGTAGTGGTGGTCGTCCATTATGGTGCTGCACTTCCTTTCCCGTAGGTCCACGCCACACCATTTCTACGTCCACCATCTTTGTTACGCTCCACTGCCTTCCACCCGCCGAGTGCGAGGTGGCAGCCAGTGGAGTGTAGGAGCCCATCGATGATGGCGGCCCGTCACCTCGCACTCGGCGGGTGGAAGGTGGTGGATTGCAACGAAGATGGTGGACGGAGAAAATGATGGCGTGGACCCACGGAAAAGGAAGTGCAGCGACCATGAAGGGCGTCCACCACTACACTCTTGGATGCCTTCGGCCCTTGCGAATTATTATGGAATAGCTCCGCAGATTCTGTTGGTCAGTGAAAGTGCGTCACCGTCTTATTGGAGTGTTGCGACGATGGTGGACGGAGGAGTGTTGTAGAGGACTCATTTATCGTCTCTGCACTACACTCTCCTCGCAGCCCCTGCAGTGTATTGTGATGTGCTCTTCCGACGCTGTACTCCACTGTCTGCTGCGATCAAGTGCAGCGGTGGCTTTCCTTCCATGTCTTTGCCCATTGTACCTATAATTACTAAAACACGTGTTCTATTTCACAGAACCTTCGATTTGCTTCGTTTTAGAGGAAGTGCAACCTTGCTTTATATAAAAATGCCTTACACGTTTGACTGTGTTGGACATTAATATTCCTTTTAAGTACTCTACGTAGTAGTTAAAGATCGATTTACTTTTCCAAAGACAACAGTATGAAACAGTATCGCTGTTTGGCATTCATTGCTAAAGCGAATCAGCTTCGGAATCGATACAGTCAAGCTTGCCAGTGGGTACGGTACAACGATGGAACAACGAGGTGATTAGCATGACGTGGCGCTGTCCTGGGTCAGCTCGACAACGTACGCAATCGAGAGCTTGGTGAAATCGGCCATGTGGTCGAAATCGATGGTGGCGATCGTGTCCTTTTGGGAGTGCATGTTCGGGTTCAAGTCCTTCAACTCGGTTTCAAACGGATACGACGAGGGGTACCCTGTCGCGTTCCACGAGAAATGGTCCGAGCAGCCGTATTTGCACACTGAGTGGGACACAGGGAGGCCCACGTAGGTCGCGACAAGCGTCTCCACGAAGGTGTTGAGGTTCTTGTTGGTGAAGTCGGAGATCAAATTCACGACGGGGGACGTACCAGGGCGGACGTACCCCGTCATGTCCTGCTGCATCTGGGCGTACACGGATGTGTTGGCCTTCGCATACTCGGTCGCTACTGCCTTGGACCCGCGCAGGCCAACTTCTTCGGCGGCGTACCAGTGGAACTCCACGGGCCGAATGGGGGTCCACTCGGGGGTCGCCAGCAAGTACTTGAGCGACTCCAAGATGGTCACGGTGCCCGACCCGTCGTCGTCGGCCCCGGGGGCGATGTTGCGCTTGACAGGGTCCCTTCGGTCTTTCGAGTTGATGGAGTCTTGGTGCGCACTCAAAATGACAATGTCGTCCTTCACAATAGTAGTAGGCTCGACGCGGGCAATCACAGAGTACTGTCCCCACGGGTGGGTGAACTGTCGCACGGTAACTTTGACGTTGGGGTTAGTCACCACCGTGGCAGCCAACTCGACCACTTGGTCGTAGATCCACCCGCACGACTGCGCGCCTTCGGTCGAGTTGTAAAGGCGGTTCGCAAACTTGTTCACAAAGCTCTCCAGGGTCCGCTTCAAGTCGGCGGTTTGAACCTTGGCGTTGACCCCACGCACGAGCTTGGGATGCATGGCTACGGTCGGGTACAGGGTTGTTTCTTGGAGGGTACGTCCATGGGGGGTGTTTTGCTTGGCCTGGCGAGCCGCCCCCAACTCGAACACGCGGGTCCACTCGCCATCGGTGTCGTCCAAGAACCCGACGTCACGGAGGGCTAAGTCCGCCACTTGGGCGTCGGTCATCCACTCGGAGTGGTCGGCTGAGAGCCGAATGAGGCGCTTGCCGTCATGTTCGCTGGAGGCAAAAGCGATGGCGGCGGCAGCAGCAGAGAGGAGGGTGAACTTCATGGCACGAACGTGAGGAAATCGGAAATGACAACACATTTCAAGTTGACACGGGTGTTTGGGGAACTACTGGTTTACGATACCAAACCATTGAAATGCGGAATAATTCCCTCATTAAAACAGTTCCACTGTTGTTGCGACCCGAAATCCTGTTTCAACGATGGAATTATCACACCAGGATGCACTTTTTAGCCCGTAGCCCTGTAGCTTAGGGCTGCGTCCTACCTCCGATGAGACATACGATGCTAATTCCCCGGGGTTGACTGCATTACCAATGGTTAGCTATGGCTAACCAGATAGATACACTTAACCCCTACTAAGATGGAGGTTATCAGAAAATACTATGTAAGTCACCTATGAACACAAATTGCAGTGCATTCTGAGAAAAACAACAGTGGTACTGTTTCATTAATGAGGGATTCATATCAGAAATGTGAAGTAAGCTTACTATGTACTACGTAGTAGTATTAATACTATTAATAGTACTAGTATAGCTTTTGCACAGAATTTGAGGGTACTTGTAATCGCCAATATGTGAGTATATCAGCAAACCTTCGCCAAAATGTGAAACCTGAAATACTGTTTCAATGAGGGAATATATCCCATCCGGATACAACTTGGGACTCCGTTACCTCGGTGAGTGTATCCGATGCTAAATCCCCGAGGTTAACTGCATCGCTTGTGGTTAGCTATCGCTAACCACAGAAATGCACTTAACCCTTAGTATGTGGGAGGTGGTCCGAGCATACAAAGTCCATATAACACTCAAATTGCAGTGTTTTCTGAGAAAAACAACAGTGGAACTGTTTTAATGAGGGAATTGTACGGGGATATCCTAATTCATTCATGGTGATAGATGGTCAAACAATATGGTGGGATGTCGAAACTTGTACAGTATACCACTCCGTCCCAAATCACTGACACGGTTGACGTTTGCCACATACCGGTAACGTTGGTGGTTTTATGATCAATCATTGGATTTGAGTAAAATTAGTACCAATCAAAAGAGCAAAATCTTGGCTATGAGGTCATACAATTATATTGCCATTCTTCCAAAAGCAGCGTGTTTAAATTTAAATTAATCATCTACTCACACTCACTGTCAACCCAAATTTTCAAATTTTCACCGGACTTTAAGAATGTACGGAGATTATCGAAAACAAGAGGTGTCATAGGCTGTATAGTTTAATTCCCAGCAAGATTTTCTAATGTCACAACTAATAGAATGCCCAAACGTGTCAGTGAATTGGAACGGAGTGATAGCGGAGTTGGGATATTGCTTCTACGTACCACTGTACCGGTACTACTAGTACTATTAATAGTAACGATATGTCTTTAAATCAGTAACGTCAGCTAATTACTGTAATTCACTGTCAGTTGAGTCGACTGAATTATTTGGAGTAGTAGTAATCAGTACATACTGTGCTTTGCGGAGAAACTCGGTCAGGGCAACTGTTCAAAAATAATACTATTAATAGTACTAGTATAAATCACAATTGTGGCGAGGTAGAGTCTCCGTACTTGATTGGCCAATTCTCGATATTTTCTGTAGCCAAAAGAAAACTTAATTGTCTCGATTCGCTCATCGTAAACCTAACATCGCGCCAGAAGTACCGTATGGTGACTCACGCCATCATCATTCCATCAAAATGATACAGGTTCCAAACGCACGAACTATCATGCCGTGTATAACTACTACATAGTACATAGTACGCTGGGAGTACGTTCTTGTACTATGGAGTCTAAATGCATTATTCTGCTTTTGATCGTTAATTTACAAAATCAACGTAAACGACTGGTTCAAAGTAGAATTATTTCAGCCAATTAGGTACTTGACGCAATGAATTTTATTTAAATTTGTTGTCATGATATATCAAAATTCAAATACACATGCAGAGTTGCACTAACCGAGTAATGATATCGTCTCAGGGTATTACTGGTGCTTGGGATATCCAGATTCATTCATGGTGATGGTGATAGAGGGTCAAACAATATGGTGGGATGTTGTATCCCGTACTAGTAGTAGTTACTAGTACAACACTCGGATATTTTCTTCGACGTACAAATTTTGGCTATTCTGGGACTAACAGTAAAACCCTGTTTTAAACATAGGCCCAAGTAGTATTAAGTTGAGTCCAGCTTCGTTTTACTAAAACGAAGCACCAAACGTACCACTCTTTTTAGTAATTCCATGCTCTAATTAGAGGTGATTTTATGGATCGTATGGGTTTGGTTCATTTTGATTGGACGCCTAAGGAATTTCTGGCTGGTTTTCCGAGCAAGGTTTGCTCAACAGGGGTGTTTGCCGATGAAATTTCGGCAAACGCGGTGATTTACTGCAGTGCTAAGCTAGGCCATGCGATGGCGGCGCGTTATCCTTGCCCAGGTGCTCTCAAGTAGTTGACACAACGTGAAGCTAGTTTGACGTTGGGGCATCCACAGTAGTGCCGGTAAGAAGACTATTCCGCACCGTGACGGACCTATAGTACATCGATGATGGTGGACATTATAGTGGTCGTCTACAATCATTGCCACCCCAGTATCCGCCGCCGCGGCCATACTACAATGTCCCCCATCATCGAAGCATTCCTGCACTCCACCGTCCGCCACCGCCGCGTAATGCAGCGGTGACCGTCTTCCTGCTACCTGGGGCGACGGTGGCAGTCAGTGGAGTAGGGAAGTGCGTCAATGATGGAGTACGTTGTATTTCTGCGGCGGACAGTGGGGTGCGTAACGTTAACGATGGCGGACGACCACTGTGATGTCCACCGATGCACACACTCTATGCGGAGAAAATAAAGCGTTTGAGCTCGTCGAGTCGTGAAAACGTCTGGAGTACCTGCTGCGCTATACTGCGATGTCTTCCGCCGTCGCTGTGCCCCACAGCCCGCTGCCGTCGAGTGCAGTGGTGTCCGTACTTCATGGTCGCCGCACTTCCTTTTCCATAGGTCCACGCCGCATCACTTCTCCGTCCACCGTCTTTGCTGCACTCCACGGCCTTCCCCCGCCGAATGTGAGGTGGCGGGTGATGGAGTGGAGCGAAGATGGTGGACGGAGGAGTGTTGTAGAGGACTCCTTTATCGTCGTTGCACTGGCATGCTGCTATCTGGGGCGACGGTGGCGGGTGGTGGAGTGTAGAGAACATCGATGATGGAGGACGTCGTAGTGTGGCTGCGGCAGCGGATAGTGAAGTGCGGCGATGAAGGTGACGGCCACTGTGCTGTGGACATCATAGTTGCTACGCGGCAGCCGTTATTTGCGATATCCTCCACCGTCGCTGTACTGTGCTGTACGCTACCGTCGAGTGCATCGGTGGCCGTTTCTCTATGTTGCCCATAAGACGATGCCACACCTTGACGGGATCTGCGAAACCTTATTCCTTACAAATGCGACGGCCGAAGACAACCAAGAATGACGGCTGTCAGTAGAGTGCAGTGGAGGCCATCCTCCATGGTCGCTACACTTCCTTTTCCATAGGTCCTCGGCATATCATTTCTCGGTCCACCATCTTCATTGCGCTCCACCGCCTTCCACCCGCCTAGTGCGAGATGGTGGGCGGTGGAGTGCAGCGACGATGGTGGACGGAGCAGTGTTGTAGAGGACTCCTTTATCGCCGCTGCACTACACTCTCCTCTGTAGCCTCTACAGTGTATTGCTTCGACGCTGTACCCCACTGTCTGCTGACACCAAGTGGCTACCCTTCCATGCCATTGCACCTATAATTACTAAACAACGTGTTTTATTTCGCCCAATGAGCGATTTTTCTTCAGACTACACTTGAAATGGTTTGGTTTGACGTGATGCGTGACCAGGGCCACCGTCACCTTCTAAATTTGAGGGGAAAATGTGTCGATGAGAATCAACAACCAAAATGTGTTAGTAGGTGCCAGTATCTATTGATTGGCTATAATTACCATTCACGCATTATAGTATTGGATGACCAAGGTTCATGAATTCATCAAGCGACTGGCTCAAGGCAGGAACTTCTCCATCGATCGACACATCATCGTTCGCCACCATCTACCCATCACAACGCAGTACCTAATCTTTCGTTTAAGCTCTTGTGTGTTATCAATCTTATTTGCGTGAAGTAAATGAATTCTTTAACCCGGACGTGTGGACCGCCCTGCAATTCGCAGGTTGGTGGCTAAGCCAATGAAACACACGAATAGTACGATAAAGCCAGTATATTTTGGCCAATGAAACTTCCTTATTCTGAACATCAAGCTGTAATTTTAAAAAGATATCACCCATTGTCGTGCGATTCGCAGTGTAGTAACAATAAATTCCAGGCAATAGTTATTAGGCTCATCGAAAAGTATTGTACTCACTTCAACTTTTGCGTGAGAATTGCCTTGGGTTCTGACGGAAAAGACAACACGTCACATCACGAGGTAATCTTATGTCATGCATGAATACGTGAACTTATCATACTCATGATCTAGATTCCTCCTTCGAGCAGCGCAACGACAAGATCGTCGTCGCCAGCAGCGAG